ATTGTCATCATTGTCCTTGTCCTTGTCCTTGTCGTCGTTGTTGTCGTTGTCGTTGTCGTTGTCGTTGTGGTTGTGGTTGTGGTTGTGGTTGTGGTTGTGGTTGTGGTTGTGGTTGTTGTTGTTGTTGGTGGTGCTGCTGCTGCTGCTGCTGCTGCTGCCAAAAAAATTAATTAATTTAAACTTACAAGAGTTTACAATCAATCCCTATCATCAACAATTTCGGTATGATCCACATTATTTTTCATCAATAATTAAACAATTAATGAATGATATATAAATATATATCTTTTAAATTTTTAATATCATATTTAAATGATACTAATTTGCATACTGCTGCTGCTGTGGTGGTGGTGGTGGTGGTGGTGGTGGTGCGGCGGCGGCGGCGGCGGCGGTGCCGCTGGTGGTGGCTGTGGTGCAGCCGTCCATATTTGGCCATAGTTGAGGGTTCAGTCTGGAGGTCCTGAGGCCGTTTACTTTGAGACCTGAAAGCCCCAAGCTCTACACGACTTAGTGTAGATACCCACAGGTAGTCCTGATGGGGGATTCAGTGCTCGACAACTTCTTCTGGACACTTGGCTGCTATCGCACCTGGTCCTCCTGGTATGTGCGAAGGATCTAAACGTTGTCCGTGGTTTAGCTTCTGCAGGTCTTAAGGGTGTGCGATATAGTGTAGAGTTTTGCAACCCAAGCCTTCGTGCTTGTCAAAGCTCTAAACTTTAACCCCTCGTGCCTTGTTTCTTTGAGCCGACTGAGCCCGCCAATGTGAGCCTCTCGCGCCCAATGCTAGACCAGGAGACAAATCGTGGTCCGCATGTGAAAACATCAGTAAGCGCACTGGGCGTGCAAAATCATGTATGCAACGCTGACGCTAGTAAGGCCAAGGATGTTATAATTTTAAAGAGGAAGAGTAGCAATCATGGTAGTTTTGGGAAACAGAAGTAGGGAGCCGCTGCGACGGCAGTGCGACCATTGGTAATCGACCAACAGGGGTTGTCAAGAATAACAGCTGCAAGAGTAGCAGACGGAAAGCCATGGTGGCAGTCATTGCGTGAAGGATATAACCGTTTTCGCTTTCCTCTATCATCGAAGGATGACTTGATTCGGTGTTCGGATCTAGAAATGGATGTATAATTAATTCATGCTGTCTGCTGTCGAGTCCTATGGAACCTAGACAAAAAGCACTGTAAAGTTTCCCGGCTAGGCTGGAGACTCCATCGCGGCCGCTTCGAGTCCAGCTCCAGGATATTCCTTTGCCTCAAACTGTTGATTTCAGAGACCTCGGATCCTTGACAGGGTCTGCCTGCGCATGAGGTCTGTGTTCGAGACAGCATGTTCTATGCTTCAGTCTAAAGGCTGACGAAACAGTGGCCTACGACTTACCCAGACCACAATGGCTCTGAATGCTGAGTCTCACTTCACGAGCAACGCGTAATGTTCGTATTTCTGAATGATCACTGGTGAACTAGGTACAATGCAGTTAATAGCAGTAACAATACTGGAGCAAGTAACAATGTCAATGCTGTTGGTAATCCATCGATCTAGGGTGTAGTTCAGGCTTTAGGCTTGTAAGTTTTCTTCTATCTCGTCAAGATCCCCAAACACCAACCGCTGGAACCACGGCAACATAGCGCTGGCGATTGGTTGCCGACTGCTTGCTGAGAAGCGAACCCAGAGCCTCAACCGAAGTTACCAACGCTGGAAGCTCTGCAACCCTGCAAACTGAAAGCCGGCAGCAAGCTCTAAACAACTCCTTGCAAGGAGACGTTGGGCAAGAGCCGGGATGCAAAGGTGAGGCCTTGAGAGGGTTTTCTGGATTTAAACTTAAGTGACAAGGTCAAGGGCTCCTCTTTTCGAGTTTCTTCAAGCCTATGTCTATGAGTGTGAAGGACAGTGTATAAGTGAGACGGATTCGGTCGAGGACGGCTGGGGAATTAGTGCATGCTGATTGCAGGGTCCATCCTTGCGAGGAGGCTAGCAGTGTTCAAGATCAGGGTCCCTGTGGAGGTCATCAATGTCATAGCATGCTCTTTCTAGACTATGTATCTTCACAAGGGACCTTCGTACTTTTGCAGTCTGTGGTCCTGGCTGCTTTAGAAAGGCCTCCCGAGGCATTCTGAGCGTCACCCACTAACTCTTTGTTCCGAATCCCCAGAAAAGTGGGATCCGCATTGAGAGGCCCCTGTAGAGCCAGGTTTCTCCAGCAGGTTCCTTCATCAGGTTGGAAGACTTCTTGAGGATTAGGGTCGAGTGTGCTCAGAACTGCAAATACTCCCATACCCCACTAAGGCCCCACTACCACACTGTCATGGGTGTTTCTGCCACAAAACACAATACTGCTCAGACATACAGTGTACATGCCTAGAATGAGGTTCGACAGCTTCAAGTCGTCAACTTGGCAGTGGACCCGCGGTCTTCTTAGGATTCAGGGGTGTGGAAGCTCGGGATTTGGGACTTAGACCTAATGCCCTCATAGTTTCCCTGTTGTCGTCGGGCATGGCATGGGTTACGCATGGTTTCACCTTCCCAAAGCACCAACTACACCAGGGTTTCTCAAATTAGGGGATCCGTCTTGCATAACCAGGGTCCTCCTCCTTAGGGTCCATGATTTTCTTCAATTCAAAGATGCCATCCAAAACTGCTCCGGCCCTGCCTGCAGGACTGTTAGCAGAAGAGCGTGAGTAAGCAATATGAGGGGAGTAGTTGTCGACCACATCGGCATTTCAGCACTGCAGCACGACAATACGAGCAGCAGCAGCAGCAGCAGCACCCCCCCACCGGAAGCTCCAGTACCAGAGCCGACACAGCAGTCGCTAGTCTAAGCACGGTGCATCATCGACTCAGCGAGCTCCGACTGTCAGTTTAGGATGAGCAAATTTTGAAGGACTTGGGGTCCTAGGCAAGGCTGAGCTTCCAGAAACGGGCAACAATTAGGAGAAGAGAAGCCCTGAGTCTGTCATTCCTAGCTGTGCAGGACCAGATGACGACCTTCGACTTTGAGGAACGCAGCGCATCTGCTGCCAAGCTGCAGAGAGCCCCAAAAAGGTCACGGCAGAAGACTTAGAGTACAGTGGGTTTTAAGGTTTAGGAGTCCAGGCTTAGGGATTTAGGTTAAGGGTATTGGGTTCCGAGCGTGGTGTCTCGGCTAAAGGGTCTGGTTTTGATGTTCAAGGTGCTAATGTTCAAGAATGAAACTTGGGGTTCGCCCCTGAAACTTGAGATCAACCCCCCAGCCTGAACCTTAATCCTGAAGTTGAAAGCCATGCAACCTCCAACCATCTGGAAAGCCTACAACCGAGAAAGCCTTGTGCCGGACGAATCGAAGCTAAGCTTCCAAAGGACACAATAATTCCAAACAGGAATTACTGTGTAGCAAAACCTAGACCTAGTCATTTCGGTAGGGTCCAAAAAGAAGCTTTTTGATCTCCACCCAAGCCTAGGCCGCTAAACTCTGAAGTCTAGTTTATCAGGCAACAGACTCAAAAGCTTGATTTGCTCTTATTTCGCTCCGAACCAAACTGCCCCGCTGTTCCCAAGCCTGCAGCCTAGAAAAGGTTTAGGCTTCCGCCTAGGCATAGGAAAGATCGAATTGTTCAGGGATCTATGTAATCAGGATTGTTTAGTGTTTGGTAGTCAGGATTGTTGGGAGCTCAAAGGCTTATAGTGGTGAGGCCGAGCCGCTTCGCCCCCGACTCAACTTCCTGTGCCCTGAGCTCATGAAGCCGGAAGACATTGCTCTTCGAACTAGGAAGCCTTGTGAACGCTTCAATCGCCCGGTGCCAGAAGGCCGAACACCTCGCAGAATTCTTGTGGGATCTGAACCAGATCGGACAGACAAGAGAGTGGTTTGCGGTCGATATATTGTATGTAAAGGGTTCCTGCACCCACCAGAGGATGAGGAGGGACTGTTATGCTACTTTAAGCTGACATGTCGAATCCTGGAAGCCGAACAGCCTCCGATTGAAACGCAATTAGGGTGCCCCGCTTGGGGTTCCACATTTGCTCAACAACGCCGAGGAGTGTTCTTGTGCATAAATCAAAACGTCTGATCAAAAGGACCTCCAAGAATCCCATAATGCTCTTGCCCAGCACTAGACCCTCAGCCCAGCAGCAAACTCTAAAGCGTAAATCTGGCAGAAGAGAGAAGGAAAATCGGAGCCCCCAAGGCGAATCCCTGGGATGTCTACGCCCAAGCTCGGGAAAAGGTTGATTTTGAGGCGGAGGAGGCGAGGGCAGTGTAGTGTGCTCTTGTGTTGTGCAGTGCGTCTCATTAGGTTTTTAGGGGGTTTCTTGGGTGGGGCCATGAAGCACTGCACCCCGAAAGGCCTTCAAGCGCCAAAGGACCTAAAGCCATACCTAAAGGCCTAAACTAAACCCGTAAATCGAAATCTTGAGCACTATGGCCCTACTGTATTCACACCCGAATCCAAGTCCGCACACCGTACATCCAGACCCTGATGTTGACTTTCCTGCCCCGGAAAGCAAGTACTCAATACTGCCTACTATTCGCTGACACTCCAGAAGTTTCGTGCACTGGCGCACGTAGGGACTTGGAGTTCGCAGCTTAGGGCTCAGACTGTAGTACGGCTTGCAGGGGTTAAACAGTTGTTCGTGTAAAGCTTCTTGGATACTGTCCGGGTGCTCCTTGTCTGTAGTGCCTCGTCTCCGTTTGTAAGCTTAGGTATTTTTGGTAGCTTGCCCCAATGGTTCGACCGTTTGGTTATTGGGCCATCAACGCTTCTCCCATTCTCAGGCTATGATGGGCCCAGCATCCTTGAGATGAATGCTATGCGCATTGAAAATGACATTGCTATAGTCCTTGAAGCTCTTGCAGTATTGAACCCCTCATCCTGTGGACAGGCTCTGAACCTGTAAGCCCTGATGTGCAAAACTCATGAGTTAAACCCTTGCTCTCTGAAAGGACAAGAAGTACATGGTGGACCAGGATGGCATCATCCGGTCTGTCAAAAACTTGAGCCGTGGTCCAAATCAGGGTTTTAGCAGACCTAAGCCGAACGTCCTGAACCCTCAACATATAGAACCATTGCAGATTTGGGGATTCGGGTTTGGGATCGATGGCTCAAGCCTTCTGCAAGTTGGAGCTTTGGAAGTTGTCAAGCCTGCCGGCATAAGGCTGGTTCAGCCCGACGTTCCCCTAGAATCCTGAACCCCGCTCCATCACCAAACCTGGTCACATCGTGTTCCCCGCTATCTAGCCTTCATTGTTATGTTGAGTTGCGGTCCTTCTGGGGTCCGCGTCACCCGTACAAAGCTGCCATATTATTCTTCACGGAACCTCATGTTCCTCCACATCAGGGCCTGTGCAGACAATTGTCACCTTAATTCCAGTCTGAAATCCAAACTCTAGGCTCTAATTACACCAAAGGGGGTTAATACTGAACCCTAACACTCTCATCCCTACATCTTAGTCTAGGGTTTAGTCTGTGAAACCAGGAAAAGTCTCAAAAACGTGCGGTGGGTCATCCTTTCCCTTGGCGGCAATGCTCCTCGACGCGAGAAGGGATTTGAGGGTTTTACTTGTAAGGCTTGAGAGCTTCCGGGATTTAGGGTTCAGGCATGAGGCTTGGGGATTCTATCTCAGGGGCCCCATCCCGTGAACGAAGAGACAACGTGAACCGGGGACCATAAAGAATTCACACGGGGATCCCAGCGCTCGTTAGGTTGAGGGGACGGCAGGTGTTGCACGTGCCTCCCCAGTTTGCTTGTCTTTATCATCTCGTAAAGCTTCTGTACAACCCGAAAATCACTTTCCAGTCTAGCTCGCTACGAGGATGCTTGCAGGCAGGTTAGTGTGCTAAGTTGCCCCAGCCTTACAAGCTCGAAATGCCCAGGTTCAGACCATTTTCAACCCTATCAATAAGTCTGAAATCCCGGACCGAAGCGAGAATTTCAGCTAGCACAGCTGTTATAGTGTGCACAGAGGAGTTAACAAGAGCTCGGCCCAACCGTAGCTTGAATGCGCTGGAGTCGCTTGAGGCTTCGGTTAAGTGCTTTTGAGGTGCGTATTTCCTGAGGAACGGTCCGTGTAAATGGACTCTACTCGATCCGGGATAGCCAAGCAAGCAGCAAGCGGCACTAACTCAGAGCAGCTCCGCACACGAGTCACACGAGATCTGCGGCCGGTGGGAGCCGCTCTGCCTAAGCCTGGGACAAGGCGAACGTCATCAACATCTGCGGAGTTGCGAATTTGCATCCACCAGACCTTCAATCATGAGTGCTTGAAGTTAACCCAAAACGGTTCACGTCTCATGAAAGTACAGCCTGCCCTAGCCATCGGGAAGAGTCCCGAAGCTCCAACCCACAGAGGGTTTGGAGCCCCTACTTCTACCGAGGATGTGTACCTCAACTCCGGGGTCAAGACGAGGTTGATCAACTCCCTCGTCCCGGGGTCCGAGGGCGTGCGGAAGGAGGTGGGGGGTGCGCGTGCTATACGGGCCTGAGAATACTCAAGACTGTCCAAATCGTTCCATGATATCGGTATATGGCAGATGGCTACACGGTTCGACAAAGCCAACCCCCCAAACCCTAGTCTGATTGCTGCTTGCGGTTCAGGATTTCAGTTTTAGCGAGCGAGGGTTCTGGTTTTATGGCAATGCAGGTATTGAAGAAAGGAGCCCAAGCAAGTGGCAATGGTGTCCCTTTACAATCACCGGCATCAGCAGAAAGACCATACTCACAGAGACTACTCCAAGCAACGTGGTCTCATGCACAGCAGCGTGGTTGAATGACACCAGATCGACCTCTCGTAAGCTTTGCAGCCCGATTTATGCGATCTGAAGGCCTAGCAACCGCTTGAAAGACAGTAGGATCTAGCCCGAAACTCTTTGCTTACGGAAGAATACCAAGGACGCCAAGTGTGTAAGCGCTTGGTGTCTACAGCTCGAACAGGACGTTCAACATGAAACATTAAAGCCCCAAAGCCCCCGACCACGGCCCTAAAACCCATACTTATTTACGGGGGTTGCGCGTGAGAGAGAGAGAGAAGCAAACATAGAAAGACAGATAGGTAGATAGACCGATCCATGTAGATATATTGAAAGCCTCAAACCCCCCTAAGCCGCCCATAAACAGCTGTTTCAAGGTGGCCAAAGAGTTCGGCGCGCGCCTGAAAAAGGTGGCAGAGCAAGCAACGCGGCTGCAGACGTTTGTATCAAAAGGGTTTGAGGCCTAGGATTGCGGCTTTAGTTGCGGGCCTAGCCTAGGGGGCTTGTACAAGGCTTTTAGGGCTTGGGTCCGAAGGTCTTATGATTTCAAATGTCGAGTCTAGGGTATTGAGTGTTTGGATTTAGGGTTGAATGTTTGGTGCTTAGGAGCTTGAGAGCTGATGTGTCGGAATAAAGAGCCTGAAATCACCGTTGAAATTGTCGGAGCCTGGAAGTTACCGTTGAAAGTTTCGGCATTTATTGCTGAAGTCCTGGGTTGCTGGCTTAGGATTTAAGTTTGGGCTCCATGCGTTGATTTAAGCTTCGAGGCTTGAGGCTGTCTTGGGCTCTCGAGCTGGAGCTTGGACCCGAAACCCTGAACCTCCAAGGCGCTTCGAAGCATAGGTTGAGGCTCGAGGGGGTTAGGATATGCGGGCCCCGGGTGAGGCTTTGTTGGCTTTAGCGCGCTTTGAGGCTTTTCAGGGGCATGGGGTTCGGTGTTTCGGTTTTGGGGCTGAAGGCTTGAAAGGATTAGGGTTCGAGGTTTGCGGCTGGAGGACTTCTGAAGGATGCAACTTCAAGACTTGGGCTCCTCTGAGGTTTGAGGGCTTCCCCTTTCACGATTCAGGGTCGTGAAGGTTTGCAGGTGTTACGGTTTATGCCGGTGTCAGGTTCAAAAGGCAGCGCCCGACGCCACGCTCATCCTTGTGGTGCCGTACCAGCCACACGAGGCGCTCCACATCAAAACACTGGAACGAGAGCATGCATAGTCCAACATACATTCATTCATCATGCATACATGCACGCACACACACACACAGACATACATATTCGTTGTCAAGACCCTTCAAGAGCCCTGCACGTGAAGACCTTAAAGATAATGATTTCTTCCAAGCTAACCCCAAGCTTGAATCCTGTGCACTGATCCGATCCCGGCTCGAAGCAGGAGTTTTCATTGCTGGCGGGTGCGCCGATCAACGACGAGGGGGCACGTATCTACGGGGAACCCCGGTTGTTTCAGGAGGGGTATTTGTTTTTGAGGGTTTGAGGGTTTTGATGTTTTGGGTGTTGGACAAGGGATTTGAGCTCCAAGATTTAAATTTGAGTGTTTCGGTTTCGGGGCGCAGGGGCTTGGACTGTGTAGGGGTCGAGGTGCACTGGGTAAATTCCAGGCTCAGGTTTTGAGTGCTTTCGGAGCTCGGCTTCGGCGAGCTATCGATGGGGTTCTAAACAATGCCAGAGCTGAAATGCGAGTTATCCTGAAAGTCTTTGTGGGCCGGGTGTATGGAGTGGGCACAGGTTGAAGCCTATAGGCAACCGTAGTCCATTGTACTCTAAGCCAAGCCCGAATCCCCTCAAGCCCTAATTTCCAAAGCCTCGGCCCCCTTCGGTCCCGAACTACTCGAGGAGTTGTGACTTCTTTGCAACAGCCTTAAAGCTCCTAAAGCCAGGTTCTTTCGGGCTTTAGCTGTAGGTGTCGGCTTTGAGCCAGGCGTTTAGGGCTCAACGTCCTCAGGGACTCTAGGTGTGAACTCTGATTTGCATAGCAGCTACTTTCCTGATGCAGCCTCAGACCTGTGAGTTCCGTCGGCATTCTTCTCGAAGGCCTTGAGCCCTGTGGCACGCAGGTAAAAGAATCCTTAGCGGATGAGCCATGTCTTTTGAGTGAGCTGTGTGTGCATACCGAACTTTCCAGATCCGAGCTGTTACTTTACAGTGGCAGCGGAGCCGGTGAGCTCCAGCCCGAAGCCATGAATGGCCCACCTGGAAGCTTCATGGAGGCTTGGCGTGGAAAAGGTTGTGGCTTCGGGGTACCTGGCCTGGCGCCCGGCCCTTTGGCATATGCTACGAGCCGGCCGATCGACCAGGCGGGTTTGCGACCTGGTACAGGGACTACACCTGTGAGCCCAGTTTCTCCGCTAGCTCCTGGACAACCTCTGCTAGGCACTTCGGCTCCCTTTGGCCAGACGGCTGCCCCTGCGAACGCAGCAGGCAGTGGTGGTGCTACTGGAAGCCAGCAAGCAGTGACTTCTGGAGCCAGCATTGCTGGTGGTTTTGCTAACGCTTTAGGAGCAGCCGGGCAACCCGGAAGCTCAACGATGGGAGAAAGCCTGAAAGGGGTACAAAGTGCCTTTGAGATGCTTGGGAGGAGACCTCCGGAAGACCAAGGGTCAACCGGGATGAACACAAGTGATGCTATAGTGAAAGCTTTGACAATGGCCGTTTCTGGAGAACGGAAGGTGTTACCTGCTTGGTCTGGAAACACCAGCACTCTTCGAGCATGGCTGCGGCAGCTGAGTTTCTGGGAACTGGACAACCAGGTTCCAAAGCACCGTTGGGGAGTTAAGCTGTTCCAGGCCTTTCCGGAGGGCAGCATTCCTCGGCGCATTGCGGAAGGACTGCCCATGGAAGTCGTGATGAGCGAGAATGGCTATGGAGCAATCCTCACGGCGGTGCTGGAGAAGTTCAAGCCGTATCTGGATGCAGCTGGACCGGCAGCCATTGATGTGTACTTTTACCAAGGTGACAGAGCCAAGGGCGAGACGTTCGCGAACTACATATCAGCGAAGGAATTGGCTAGGCAAGAGGTGGAGAGTTTGGTCGGCGAGCGAATTCCTGAGAGGATCGCTGGCCGTGTGCTTCTTAGACAGGCCAGTCTGTCCGAGGCTCAACGAGAGACCTTGGCGATCAAACACAACGCCCTCCTTACCTTCGAGGAGGTGGCAAAGGCTCTACGACCTTTGGATCGCTCGGACGCCTTGCTGAGGCCAATGACTTCTGCAAGTTTGTTGGCGAACGTGCCCGCGACGAGTTCCTACTGGACTCGGGATGAGGAGCCTGATGTTGAGGCTGGAGATCCTGTTTGGCCAGAAGGCGAAGACCCTGAGGATGACGAGGACAAGGCCTACTTCTACGAGGAGCCGATCTTTGATGAGGCCGGGGAACCCCTGCTCTACTTTGAGGCCGACCGTGAGTATGACGAAGAGGAGGCTTTATACATATGGGCCTACAACGACGCCTACAACCAGATCTACCTTGATCACGAGCGGACCGAGGCGGCAAACTTCCCTGCTTACCAAGACGTGCGTCGAGAAATGCAGGCTCGACGAAAAGGCCGCCAATTCTATCGGTCCGACGACAAGAAGGGAAAGAAAGGCAAGGGCAGAGGCTCTTCGTCTGGAAGGCCGCAAAAGGGGCGGGGAAAGCGCCCAGATCGGGCGAACAAAGGAAAGGGGCGCGGATCCTATCGAGGCTCTGCAAGCGACTTGCTATCGAGGACAAGATGTTACAATTGCGGCGAGCTTGGGCACTTTAGCCGCGACTGCCCGGCGGGACAGCAACCAGCAGCGGAAGGCCGGACAAACTTCGTGGTGAGCCAGGGCCAAGGGGCTTTGAACAGGACCTTCATGCAAGCAAGCATGACCCCTGGAGTTTCCAAAGTGCCCAAGGATATTCTCGTCTTCGCTGGGGTCAGGACAGGCTCTGGGCAGGGATTGGTCGACAGTGCAGCCGAGGAGGGCGTCATTGGATCAGGTGCCTTTGCTAGGCTCAAGGATGCCCTCATGCAGCAAGGGCTTCGACCAATCCAAGTGCGCGGCCCAGCTGGAGCGTGTGCTGGGATCGGTGGCAATGCCCAAGTGCTGGGCATTTGGGACGTGCCCATCGGTGTCTGTCAGACCAATGGCTTGCTTCGAGTCACGGAAGTGCAAGACGCCGATGGCTTTGAGACACCGCTGCTCCTGCCGGTCAGTTTCCAAGAATTGATCGGAATGGTCATCGACTATGACAAGGCGGAGGTAAGGACACGGCAGGGCAAGACATCACCGATGCAGCGTCTCCCGTCAGGGCATCGGGCCATCTCTGTGGTGGAGTTTGCAGGAAGATGGCAACTACCACGAGAAATGCAGCGTGGTGGCAAGGATCCGTTTCAGTTGCCACGCAACTCGCGACCGAGCCAAAAGACGGGACCAGTGCAGCGCCATCGAGGTGTCACCGTATGGCTTAGGCATCCATGTGGTACCATGCAAGAGCTTGCCTTCCTTGAGGGTTCTCGGCAGTGCATGGTCCTTCCGTCAGAGTGCATGAGCCAAGCGATGCAGTCCCAGCTGGAGCCAAACCGTGTAACCTTCCTCGATACCTTACCCGGACAAGCCCCCTATGTTATCAACGATGTTTGGCCAGGTAATCTTGGGTCTCGCCAGTTGGATACAGCCTGGACAGGTACTGTCATCTTCCAGCAGTTAAGCCCCGAGCCAACTTCTTCGACAACTTCTGCTGCGAACCCAAGCTCTACTATGCCCTCTTCGCCTCAGGCGTCTTCGGGATCCGTGGCAGATGCCGTCTCCGAGGAGGCCAGCTTGGGTCCCCAGCACTTCAACCTGTCAGATTCCGATGCTGCGCATGATTTTGAGGGTGTTTTCTCTTCGGTTGGGGCAGAAGTGTGCTTGTCTTCGCCTTTGAGCACCCGTCCAAATCATGCGAATCATGCTGTGGAAGTGTGGCAGCGAGTTCGAGAGAAGAGTCGCAGTGTGTTTTCGTCAGTGCAAGCAAGCATGAAGCGTGAAGTGCCAGAGCACACGGCCTTCTTCTTGGCTTGGGCCCGAGATCGGACCCAAAAGCAGTCAATGTTCACGCGGCTGGCGACCTTCCTTGCCCTCACTTCTTGCCATGCAGCGTCGAGTGCAAGAGCTTGTGCAAGGCGAGTTGGACGAGCGCCAGAGGCACGAACGTCGACAGCGTGGATCGGTGTGGTGCCAGAAGGCATGGGCCAGATTGGTGCGAGTCATCGTGAGGATGATCATCACGGCCCGCGACCAAATGGTGGTCGATGCGCTGACCTTGCAAACGGCCCCGAGCTCTACAGCGTCTTCCTCGACTGCTCCACAACCCAAACGTCGCCACGAACGCCAGCAACGACCTCTCCGACAAGGCCTGGGTCCACAGATGAGTCGCAGCCAGACACAGAAGGTGTGGCCCAAAGAACCCGAGGACTGCGAGCACATCCAGGACCAGTTGAGAATGCGGGGAAATCAAGCAATGCACTGGTGGGTGTGTCTAAACTGTGGAAGCCGTTGGGAGAGGATCGAAGCTGCCACCGTGAACCCGGGTCGTGGAGCTCTGCCAGAACAAGTGAAACCGGTGTATCGGACCACAGAGCCTCCTCGTATGCTGCCTCCGCCGAGAACCGGCCCTCACCTGGGGTCGATCACCTTGGAACAGGCCCGCACGAAACCTTCGAGAAGCTCAACGAGTGTGAGGTTCGGGGAATCCTCGACGGCATCCACGATGGCGGGCTACCAGAAGGGGACGATCGTCGACAAGAAGAACCGCGTTTCGGAGAGGACGGAGCGCCACTACCCGGACGAGATGTTCACCCACGAGCCGGAGTATGCGAAGGAGAGAACCTACGTGGGCGACAGTCGCGGGTCCGCTTCGAACTCTCATGCCCTGACGTTGTTTCGTCCCGGGGTACCAGCCCGAGATGTGGACCGAGTCGACGCTCGTCGCATGATGCAGCACCGACCCAGCGAGTGGGCGGACTACGACGCCGAGGAGAAGACGGCCGGACCCATGGAAGAGGCGAACGCTCACACCCCACGTCGCTCAAGGAGTCTACCAGCTGGAGTTCATCCGATACAAGACCGCTCCCGGCGAAGGCAGGTGCAAGAGCAGTCGGACCACCCGGAGTTGTTCGCGATCCACGACAGCGACCCGGAGCTGGGAGCGGACAAGACCCCGAGCTCGTTCTCCATGGTGGACCAAGTGGAGCAGGACGAGCTGTGAGCGAGGACCAGGGAAACCACACGTCAAACGGCACTACGAGCACCACTTCCTTTGTCATGCTGGAGAGCGCTAACTCCTTTGTGCGGCGCTCAATGGCACGACGAGGCTATGGATCCGTCTGTGGCCTCGCAATTCTCCTATCGTCTGTTGGGCAGATGTCACCACAAGCGGCTTCAATAACATCGAAGCTACCCTTCCACCGGCTGGAGGCCGGAGTTC